TACATTCATTCATTCATTCATACATACATGCATGCATACCTGCATACATACAGACAGACATACATACAGACATACATACAGACAGACATACGTACATACATACATACATACATACATACATACATACATACATACATACATACATACACACACACATACATACACGCATGTTTATGCATGCATCCATGCATACTTGCATACTGACATATATACTTACATGCAGACATGCTAACATGAAGACATGCCATGCCATGCCACGCCATGCCATGCCATGCCATGCAAACACGCACATATACATGCGCACATACATATACACATACGTACATGCACACATGCATGCTTGCATTCATCCTCATCCTGAATCGTCAGCCTTACAGAAGCGTAAGTCGTAACTTTGTGCCCGGCCTCCAACCAGTGCTCCAATGAGTGTCCACAGGGGTACGATCGCGGCGATTACCAGCGATGATCTCCTTTGTTGGCAGCGCTCATTAGCCCCATCCTTACTTCGGGTCATTCGCCTCCACTCATGCCTCGCATATCCCCCTATTCCACGCTGTTGACAACCTCCCACTGCCTGGAACTCCTGTATCTTCACTTCATTGAGCGTTCTATCGGGGGGATGGGCGACATAGAGGGTTAAGGGTTTAGGGTTCCTGAGAGCCCTTGACCCAAAAGCGCTGAACGCGCTGATCTCTAAAGCCGTAAACCCCTGTCGGGACAAAAGAAGGACTACAGTCTCATTCTCCGAGATGGCAAACTGCAAGACCCTTGAAAGAACTAAGTCAGCCTGGTATATTGAGATTCAGCTAAAGGTTTCGGTTATGACGCGTGGCGGCTTTCCCGACTCCTCTTTCAGTCTATACAAGTCCAATATAGGGCCCTTATTATATAGACTAGGGCTTTCGGGTATGTTATACGATACAGGGTTTAGGGTTTAGGGTTTAGGGTTTAGGGTTTAGGGTTTAGGGTTTAGGGTTTAGGGTTTAGGGGATCGGAAACAGCTCCCCCCAAAATAGGATTTGTATCTATCTATGCCCCTGTATGATACCCTGACCCCGGGCTACAGACCTTTACCACAAACGGTACAGCTCGAAGCTTAAGCACGGCTGGACAGCTGCCCCTGGAACGAACAACAAAAACAACGACGAACCATTCAGCACTGCCTATAGTCTCCATTGTAGTTCCTTGTCGGGCTTACCTTTTAAATTTAGATCCGTAATAATTTAATATACAATTGGTTAAAACCAAAAAGAAGGAACTACAATGGAAACTCCTGAAGGTTGTGCACTGTGACACTCATCTTCCCTCTTGCGGTTAAAGGCTCTGCGACTCCGAGAGTGTGGCGGGACCATCTGTCAGAAGGGAGAACCTGCAGCAAAGTCGGTTCAGGGTTTAGGGTTTAGGGATTGTTTGCTGGAGGGGTTAACGTAAAAGCAGCACCGAAAAAAAACTCAGATCCCTATTTCCCTGTCGCCCCATTTTTTGTCATACTTTATGTGGAGGGTGACAGTCACGAGTCATGAACCATGACCTGGAAAAATTTAGCAGGGTTGCGGGCTGCAGGTGCTACTCAACCCCAAACCCTAAACCCTAATGCAGGTACTACAGGCATCCCCACAAAATCGATGTTTGACCCAAGCCCTGCCCCTAAGTCCTAAAAGCCACCCCAAGCCCTGAGGGTTTAGGGCTTAGGGGTTTCAACAGGGGCTTAGGGTTTAGGGTCTCGGAGGTTTTCGGGTTTAGGAGGGTTGGGGCTTAGGGTTTAGGGTTTAGGAGGGTTTAGGAGGGACGCCACGTAGAAACTCAGTGCCGCGTGTCCTAGACGCGATGTCACTGTGCATCCCTGCCTATATCGTCTCCTTGGAGGCCACAACCCGACACCTTTTTTGGGGTTTCGGGGCCTTAATGTTTCGGGCACAATTAGGGAGTAGGATTTCGATTCAGAAGCTGAGGCGAACAAACAAAGAATTATGCTCTGTTTGTACTAAAGAAGCCTAAGGAATATTGGCAACTGTTTAAGCTTGAATTCCAGCTGGCTGGTCCCAATCCGCCTTTATTGAACGCACAATCTGGAATCTATGGCCTTAAGACGCGATGACATGCTCAGTTAAAACCCAAAGCGCAAAACTGCCCCAGCCCGGCACCCCGAAAGACTTAGTGCAAAAAACGACATGCACCGAAGCACCTAGCTATATAATGTAGGGGCTTTAATAATTAGAACAGGGTTTTTGGGTATATTATTATACTCTAGCTAACAAAAAGGAGCCCCCCAAATAGTATAGGTAATTATTAATGGCCCCTATATTACGGTATTCTAGGAGTACGAGGAGCAGGCCGACGCTGAGCTTTTGAAAGTTTCCCGTGGTGGTGGTGGTGCTGACCTGAGATTCGAGAGGCTGCAGCGAAAGAGATCTCATTTAAGGTGAAAAAAGTGATAGGGTAGGGCTTCTGGGGCTTGGCGGTTTGAGCCACACTATTGTCCATATATATATATATATAT